ATCACTGTTCATATCATTGTCATACAATAAATTTATCACTGTTCATATCATTGTCATACAATAAATTTATCACTGTTCATATCATTGTCATACAATAAATTTATCACTGTTCATATCATTGTCATACAGCAATTGAAATTTTACGCATTCCATTCTTTTTAGCATGGAAACAAAATGTTTATTAAATTAATATATTTTATAGTATAAAAATCTTATAAATGAATTTTTTTAAACAGAAAGTTGCAATGTTTCATATTGTAAATTATTTTATTAATTGATTTTTATTGAAAAAAATCGATAATCTTTTTGATATTTGATCACATTCCAAGATATTATCCATTATTTACTAACCCATAAAGGTCAAAAAAAAAAATGTCAATTAGACGGTCAAATTAATTATAATTGGTTGTAAGGGTAAAGAATGGAAAGGTTAAAATAATAATGATCACAAATCAAACTGTTGCACACTTTCTTCATCCTCATTTCTCTTCTATCATTTCTCTTCTATCATTTGCCTTTCTTTTTTTTTTTTTTTTTTAACCTCTCTTATTATTGCTATGCCCTTTTAACCTTTTTTCAATTAGCCAAGTAGCACTAATTAGAATGACTTAAAGACCACTTTCCGCCTCATTCTCTCAAAGGGAAAAAAGAAGGAAAAAAAAAACATGAATATTCTTATATCTACAAAGGACAGTTACGAAAGCGAAATTAGGATGACACGAAATATTTGGATGAGTGGTTGTTTGGACAGGTAAAAAAAAAGAAAAAAAAAGAGAGAGAGGTACATTGTGGGTGCTATCATCAAAAACAGGTGCAAAAATAATTATCCGTTTGAAAGCGGTATCTATAAGAAGAGAAGAAAAAGAGTCATTACTTTACTTTAAAAAAAAAAATAATGAATGATCTTCCAAAAATAGGTAAAAATTTCGAATTTTTCAATATAAATTTCAAATTATTTCAATTTACGAAAATTGATTGCTAAGAAATTTTATCGATTGATAAATATTAAAAAAAGAATGATTATAATAAATCGCTCAGCTTTATTTTCCTTTTTAAATTAATAGAAAATTTGGAAATAAATTATTTGGGAATGAAAATGATTTTATGTTTGGTGTGTTTAAATTTGGCTTATAGTTTTTATTTTTGTCTTGAAAATATTAAAAATAATTATTTTGGTAATTAATTGTGCCATCATCTAACATATTAAAAAGCACATTAATCATTATGCTTCAAAATGAAATGTCAAAAATTCATTTGCTAACAGTTTTGTGATTTTGGTCAAATTGTAATAGCAAAATCGAAGTATAATTTAAAATTAAAAATTTTGTAAAATTGCAAACAATATAATGGAATGCAAATGAGTAAATTTTAATTATGATTATTATTAAATTAATTACAATATAATTATATTTCAAAAGGATTTACAATTGCCGCTACCAAACAAAAATAACCTTTTTACCTTTCAATAATCGCTTCAAATTACGCCACTGAATAGTATAATATAGCATTTGGATACCGAAAGCATATTTATTTTCAGTTTTTATCCTATTATTTGTTTCAATTATTCATTACATCGATTTCGGAGTTAATTAAAATCATTTCATTTCATTTTTTATCTTTCTTTCCTTGTTTTGTCCAAATTATGGTACTTAATTTATTTTATAATCAATTTTTAAATTTAAAAATCTACGAATTAATTCATTCGTAGAAGAAAATTTTTGGGAGAGAAGTATAAAATATGTCACCTGTAATAAAATTTGATGAGTTGTTGATATTCTTGAATTACCAATATATCATTATATTTATATAGTTTTATTAATTTAATTACATGATTTTCGTCACTTTTACAACATGTATATATATATATATATGTATATACATGAAATCAAAATACATTTAATTGAGTTCCAATTGAATTCAATTCGTTTCAAACCCTTAATTATTGCAAATAACGATTTATAATTTTCTAATTTTATTTACCAAATTCAATTACATGATTTCCATTATTTTTACACAAATTATTTTCATATATTAAATAGCAAATCAAATTGTTGA